GTGGAGAAGATGAGGGAGGAGAAGCAGGCAAAGAGAAGAGGGAACATAGAGGAGAGAGCTAGCCAGAAGAAGATGAGGAAGATTTCAACTACTATTCCACAGCAGCTTTATAATTTCTTATGGATTTCAGTGATAGCTTTATATATATTTGTCATGCTTTCTACTCCTTAGTTTCACAACTCCCCACTCACGCAATCATCGTTTATCTCCTCACACGATTTTTAAATTTTTAAAATTTAAATTTACATTTTATATCCCTATAATTAGTTAATTAATTATTTTATGTCTATCTTTTTAAAAATTTTCATTTTATACCCTGATCAAATTAACATACATAATCGTATATCAATTAAAATATGTTTAAAAATAGGTTTTAATTTTAACAAGTTAGATCATTATAATCGTCTCGTCAATACCTTCGAAATGAGCTCAATATTGAATATTTTTTGACTTAATTATATTATTATATATTATATACTATGAAAGAATATTTTTAATATTTACACTTATAGTTATTTATTTAATTTATAATATGTCATTTGTTTTTTCAATTTTCGTTTTACATCATCATTATCATATGGAGCTTTAATAAGTTGTACTTCCTTCTTTCTTACTGCTTTCTCTCAACAGCAGTGGCAATTTTGGCGTTTAGGTTATTCATCGTCAACGAATTTGGCAACATCATCGGTTAGTGGTTTCAAGGTAGATCTTCCCAAATGCGTACAACCATTCAATTGTAACATGAATCATGGTTGATGTATTTCGGTCGATTTTATCATTGTTTTTTTAGGTTTTTAATCCCATTTGTTGATAAAAATGTCATTTTTAAGAAATAAAATCCTAAATGAACAAGAAAATTATACAAGATACATAAAACCTTGGAGCTAGTATACATAAGTACTCGTTTTTAGAATCATACGATTATCAAGTCTAGCTGATATGAGACTCTAACACATCCTTTCAATGAAGGCTAGATGGGCAAAGATGTTCCACAGTGTCGAGTCCGAAACAAACTAATCCATGAAATCCAAAAGTTACTTGTTTCAAGAATCCTAAGAATGATTACTGGGTATATTTGATCTCATCTTCGATTCAACTGATCAAATATAATTGGGTTAAATGCATGAAATAGTAACCTACTTTCATAAATTTTCTTATTATAACATTCTACTTTTGTTTTTCCTTATTACAACAATGTACTTTCAAATTATTTTTTATTAAGGTATCATACTTTAAAAAATCTACCCATAATAGCAATGGACAACCTGTTACCTTTTAAACTGGTTAATCCTTTGACTTTTTTTGCTTGTGTGGCTTTAATGAGGTGATGTGGATGACACATCATTTTGATGACTTAACTAAAATAAAAATAAAAACTTATTTCAAATTATTATTAGTGATTTTCATTTTTCTTTGCTATGATCTAAAAAATATTTAATATTTTTGACTTTTTCTTATTAAGTTGCATACAATTTAAAATATTCTAGAGTAAAATATTTCTTAAATAAATATGAAATATTATTTTCGAAATATATTTTGTTTGTAAAAAAGGTAACACTTCTGTTGTTCTAATAAATACATATATTTTAAAGTTCTCTTTAAAATTGTTAACGAAATAAATTGTGATCTACATTTCTTTAATATTGTTATATTAATAAATAATTTAAAAAAATCTAATTACTTTAATATATTTATACGTCAAGTAAAAGTTTTTGAACGAATATAATATATTCTTTAAAAGATAATATTTTTTGGTAGAAAAGAAACATTTCTTTTTTTCAAAAAAACACATATTTTTAAAAAAATGTTAGCGAGATAAATTGTGTTCTACTAGTTTTATTGATACCAGAAGAGTACTCGCGCAATGAAGCGTGACTGACAGGCTAGGATCGTCCGTGTTCACCTAGTGGGCAGAAAGTCCCCACAGTGGCGGTGCAAGTGCACACCGATACTATGATCGCTTGCAAGTAATAAATAGGTACAAAGTACCGAGATCGTTCCCACATAGAAGGTACTAATGAGATTCAGAGATTTTTCATGAACTTCTTGCACGAGTTTCGAAATGTAAATAAAAGTTGGATTTTTGTTTATAAAAAGACCGAAATAGGACTGACTAGCAAAATAACGAAATAAACTTCTAATATTAAATGATGGGCATGGGTGCAAGTGTTGCTTAAGATAAAATTAACAATAAAATGGTTAGATTTTTACGAGTTGTTTATAAAAGTTCCAATATCTCGAAAGTGAACTTTTATAACCGGGCCTCATAAAATTCAATAAGGTTTTTACGTTTACCACTTCGAGACTTGCCGATCTAGCTAAAAAGTAAAAGGAATGCGATTCTTACCCAAATCTCTTTGTGATAAAAATACCTATTGCTTAACCCCTAGCTAGATGCATACAAAATTCGCGTCTCCACGTAATTATTCAAAGACCCTCTCGAGTTCTTTGTGCATCACTTAAACCGTATTTCGGATCCGCCTATCTCTGGATCTAAGATCTAATATTAACACTTCAAATTGACCAACTTATCCGCATTTTAAGTACCGTTTTAAGTGATAAAAGATAAAAACACCCAAATATTATATGAACATCCTAAGTTAAACTCACACCCACACCCATACAAGTAATTTAGCTAGACATAATAAAAATAATTAAAGACATAAAATAATACTGAAATATAAATTGCATTAATGTAAAACTAAATTACAAGTACAAAGAAATAAAATACTAGAAATTAAAGACATAATTTAAAGACATTAATTAAAAGCATAATAATAATTAAGAAAAAGAGAGAATGAGACACAAAATGAGTTTTGTGTCATGCATGCTGTGTCTTCAAAATGACTCCCCAAGCCTCTTTATATAGGGGAGAGGAATGGAGTAAGTACACATAATCATTACTTTAAGGGTAATTAGTACAAATCTAAAAAAATACATATAAAAATAAAATAGAAGAAGGAAGACAGCTCATATACACCTGGAGAAAATATCTAGATGAATATTCAAGCTGCACGTTTCCCAAGAAGCAACAACAAGACTCGCAGACATCCCACAGTGGTGGCACAGTGGGCAGTGCTGTCAGAAAAATACAGGTTTTTGGAATAATACATATTTCTTTGTGTTTCATCATCTTTTTAAAACTTTTTGGAATAAAAGGATAAAAATAAGAAAATTGGGTATTTAATAATAGCAAAAAGTGAGGAAATAAATAGGAAATAACTCTTAAAAATAAGAGTTATCAGAGACACATCTCGATTTTAATGTTCTATTTTATTATTTCCCACTATCAATGTTATAATACGATTTCATTTGTTTTTAAGAAAGCAATAATGATTTTATTTTTGAATAAAATATAAATTTGAAAATATCATAAAAGTTTGAAAAAAAATATCAATGTTAATATCAAATCAACTATTTAAAAGTTCTTATTTTTTTATGTATATTTTAATTTATTTTTTTATTATAATTTAATTTAAGTTTAATAATATAACATTTTATAAAGATAATAATTAAATATTCTGTTAGAACTCAATAATGATCCTAATTATATTTTAAATTTTTTATATTTAAAGTGATGAGTATGTTTATCCTGTATTTGATTATGTTTATCTGCAGTTAGTTACACAAATTTAGGTATGTAGCTTTATTAAGTTGTACTTAACACAATCTACTTCCAATCCTGAGTTTTAAGTAATATGCATTAATAAACTGTATTTTAAGTATAAAAAATGTTTTTTAAGCGTTTTTGTCAAATGTTTTATAATATAGTATAGATTATGTGTTTTTATGAAAACAATAATAATTTTATTTTTGAATAAAATATAAAATTGAATATATCTTAAAAAATTAAAAAAGAATATATCAATATTAATATCAAATCAACTATTTAAAAGTTTTCATTTTTTATGTATATCTTTAATTTATGTTTTTATTATAATTTAATTTAAGTTTAATAACGAAATAATTTATTTTTGGTTTAATGATATATAACATTTTATAAAGATAATAATTAAGTATTCTGTTATAACTCAATAATGATCCTAATTATATTTTAAATTTTTTATATTTAAAGTGAGATGTTTATCTTGTATTTGATTATGTTTATCTGCAGTTAGTTACACAAATTTAGGTATGGAGCTTTAATAAGTTGTACTTAACACAATCTACTTCAAATCTTGAGTTTTAAGTAATATGTATTAATAAACAGTATTTTAAGCAAAAAAAAGTGTTTTTTAAGAGTTTTTGTCAAATGCTTTATAATATAGTATAAATTATGTGTTTTTAAATGCCTAGCCTAAAAGCGATTTCAAAATCACTTTTGGCTCTGTGTTTCACCAGGGATTCCATCGTCTTCACAACTGCTCGGTTTGCCATTCCAAATCTTATGCCGTGATCCTGCCTTTGAGATGTGTAAGCGTATAACTCGATCAAGTCGTATGGGTTGAGATTGATGAGGTCGTTTTCGTTAAACACGCTAAATACCCCATGTGCTCTCTCCACGGTAAACTCGATGTATCGGATAGCTCGGTTGGCAAATGTCTTTACTTTCAAGCCTATGACCCTCTTTATCCCATCATTCGAAAAGACAGCCTG